GGGGCTTTGGGTAAATGCGATCACGTATACAACTCGCTGAGTCCATTCCAGCTCATCGTGGCTGATGTATAGGACACGGTCACACTGCTCTGTGGCTATCCCAGACTGTAAACCTTGACAAGGGTAGAAAGACTCCTCTTTCTCCTGTGGAGTAACGAGTGGTTTCGAACTGCTGACATGGTGGTTCCCAGCCCAACATGTACCCCAGTACATTATCAGGGTTCCCTTAACGTATCCAAGGGGGCTTCAAAGAGCAACTGAAAGCACCCCCCTTGCAGTGGACCCTGACAAGGACACCTGTGATCACCACTCCTGGTCTATACTGTCCACCACCAGACTTCGTTTGTCATACTGCGGCGCTTGCCTGTGGCTATAATGCTACCCAATCCGTCGCCAGTATCTTGATGACCATCCGAAAAAGCCAGGGTGCAGGTGTCAGCAGAACTTCTAGACTGAGAAGGGACTTCAGGAAAGGAAAGAGCGTGTCCACTCCTGAGGAATTAGCCCCTGAGAACCTGAGAAGTAGCAGCCGAGCTTTGTCGGCACGCTGAGAACATCACGGCGAGCAGTACACCGAGCAGTACACCGTCGTCAGACACAGGCGAGCGGACGAGCCCCTCGGCTTGCAAGGCACTCAAGAGGAAGAATCGCCTTCTCCAAGCGGAGTCGGCCACAATCACATGGGTGGAGCGGAGCTTTCGGAAGCTTTACTTGCTGATGGGCCATGACTCAGAATGGGAAAAACCAGCTGCCAACATTGGCTAATAATCAGGACATGGAATGTACTAATTATGAATCTAGAAAAATTGGAATTCATCACAAATTCAATGGAACATATAAAGATAGGTATTAGCTGAAATGGACTGGTATTAGCCATTTTGAATCTGATAATCCTATGGTCTACTATGTTGAGAATGATAAATTCAAGAGGAATGGTGGCACAATCATCATCAAAAAGGACATTTCAAGATTTATCTTTGTGTTAGTCTGGATAGACTAGAGAAACAAATTCATAAGCATGCATATGTATATAAGGGAGAGGTTTATATACAAGAGCAATTGAACATTGAGAAAACATCCCAACCCAGTCCAGATCAAGCCCATAAGTCCGATATTAGCCCATATGTCCAATAGCAATCTATAAAGTCCTCTTCAGACT